GGTAACAATTACTCAAAGACAACAGCTCAGGCTTGAACAAGTATTATCTTTCATCTTTCCAGTTTGTTTATTTTGTTGCATTGAACCCTAAATTTAAAGTTTACAATTGATTTCAAATCTATTTCATAGCAAACAAATTTAATATATATTTTTGTGTGTGCGTGTGTGTTTGGGGCGGGGGTCTTATGTGGGCCCACGGGCCTTGAGTTTGACACAGGGTTTAGACTGATGCAGCTCAYAATTGTTTTGGGACCTCCTTGCTTGTCAACACAGACAAGGTGATCAGGACAGCTTTCCTACTCAAAATGCCTTTTTTCAGAGATTACTAACAGATTTTCCTGCACCGTTCCTTTTACTGTATCTTGTGCAGTGAGTTGTTTTTGAGCAGTGACAGACAAACACGCAGAGCAGCAGCTCACTCCCCTCCTGTTCCTAGGAATGTGTCCCACTGTTCCAGTCAGAAACTATCCAGATGAAAGTCACCTTGTTAGTGGATCTGATCAAAGTCAATAATGTTAGCAACATGGAGCTGAATAAAGAAGGTAGAAACAGATATAAAAGTCAAATAATTTGGATTGATATGAAATGTTATTCTAAGGATATATGTCATTTGTAAGCATCCTGTTATTTCCATCGTGCATTGGGTATTTTGCTAATATATTTGCATGTCATTCATTTGATGACTTTGTTTGTTTACTACTTTAAACTTGTTGTCTTGCTGCAGCTAACAGAAAAACAGATTCACACCCTAATGGAATTTGGTTGGAACATTTTTCCTTTGGCATCAGAAACATTAGATGTCGATGTGGTTACCATGACTATAAACATGCATGCATTTGTGGAGGTGGGGTTGTTTCTGTAGGGRAACTAAAAGGACAATATGGTTGTTGTTGTTTTTTTCTGTTTAGTTAAACACTTTTCATTAAATTATTTAATTTACCTCTTAAATTTGTGCATAATTAGAGGCGAGGTCGCTTTAATGCCACTGTAGTCATGAGATGCGAGTCAGATTTAACCCCTGTACTCAAGCTAGCAACAATTAAATAATAAAACCTTGAAGTTTAAAAATGTATTTCTGCAAAACAATAAATGAAACTATCGTTAAAATGACAAAATAGATAAAAAAAACTGCCAACCAGCTCACAAATGAACCTGTGTCTGGGTTGTTAAATTAGTGAAAAGGTGACATTAGAGTGAAAGTTGATCATGTTACAAGCAGTTATGTGCAAAAATACTCTTATTTCTTTGTTGCAAGTTACAACCAGTTTCCAGGCAACAAGAAGAAAGAAGGCTGCTGATAATTTGTCTTAGAGCTTRTGAGGTTGGAAGTTCACCAGAGGCAGGCTAGTTTTCTTTACTTTTTAGGCGGTCCCATCACAAGTTTCTGTAAGCAGTCTCAAACAATCTTACTAAAAGGAAGGTGTAGAAAAAAATTGAATTAAGAGGTTGAAAGGTGAAGTCATTCAGTAAAGACAAAACAGTTCTTTGACCTTGTCTGGATAAGCCCAGTTAAAGAGAATGGCAATGCAATGTTCAAAAAGTGAGGCACTATAAGATAAATAAGCAGAAATAAGTTGAAATTTTGCCTAATTTTTCATGAAAGATTATGAAACCAAAACCATCTTGGGGGRAAAAAAAACGGTCCAAAAATCTGACGAACAATAAAACTATATATAAAATGCCTTTTTGTTCTCATCGCTACACCACAACTATTAATCCATTTACCACCAGTTCTCTCCTCAGCTCCATATCAAATTACTGTTTTGGAAAAATGGCACAAGAAAAAGGGAGGCACCACTAATGGAGCCCCAGTCATGACATCACAGATGAGGGCCGTTCAAGCATCTGGTCCTGGGTGGGGAGCCCTGTGTCTCCTCACTCTGTTAAGACCGACTCCAGCAGTGAGTCAGGGCCCTTAATGAGGACCAGATTCCACACATCAGGCTGAGGTCACTCTGCGAGAATCTCTGGAGGTTGGTATGCATGCATGTGTTAGGAGAAAGAGAGCAGGGAGTGCGGTGCAGTGTGTGTGTGTGTGCTGAGAGACCAGGAACTGAGGCTGAGGTCTGCAGCTCTGTGGTGTGAGAGAAAAAGCCATGTCACGGTGAAGGAGAGAAGACCTCAAAACAAAAGCACTTTCATAGAAAGGACTAAGGGGGATGAAGCAGACTGCTCGGGGGTTCTGACATTGAGAATAAGGGAGCAAMATGGCATAAAATAGTGTCAAATCCTAAATTTGAGATGTGACGTAAAACTGTAAGTTTGTATTTATCACCTCTTTTCTTTTATTAAAACCAGGTAATTCAACCCGCCAAAAGTCTCTAGTGTGGGCCTCTGCTTCTTGCTGTTGGGCCATATTCAATGACACATTCAAGGCAACCAAAGGAGGCCCAATGAACTCGTGCCCTCCCACTATGGGAAATACCCTGTGGCCATTCGAGGGATCTGATCATTTCCTCCAAGTCGGCTGCTTTCAAACCAACCAAGCAGAATGCATTACATGGAGGATTATCTGCAGGAAAAGTTTGTATTTACACAGATGGTAATCACGCCTAATAGGCTTAAAATGTTGGAAGTTAAATAGGAAGCTGGAAAAAATGGCGCGTTTAGTAAATTTCTATTTTCGTTGAGCTCATTTCTGCCTTGAATGAACTAATGAGGGTATTTACTGTACACTGTATAATAAACAGATCTTTAAGAGACAAACATATGTTATAATCTTTACCAATTACTGTCATCATACCCTGTTATCATAACTCTAACCGCTAATGAAGCAAGCCCACAAGCTTTAACTTACTGTTTACCCAGCACATTCTTTTCATTTTTTGTGATATTAAAATCTGAGTCTTACTAATTAGTTTCTACCTCCACAGATGAATTTACCTTTTTGTTTGGAAGATATCTYTATCCTCCAATGTACTGGTCAGGTATCATTTCTAGTGTTTTTGCTCCTTTCTGAAAATAGTCCTGTAAAATTCCCTCATCTTAGACCACTTTAACTGGTATGCAGAGGTTAGAAAGTACCCAGAGTTGGCTCTTTTTTCATTCTTTACACGGCTCCATCTGTCATCAAGTTCCTGAAATCCTCCCAGGAAAAACTTCCCAAATATGTTCACCATTATAGCYGTTTAAGTTGTGTCTTGCCACTCAGTAACAGCTGGCTTTAAAGATGCCTTTTGATGAATTAGGTTACACAGTGCAAAAACTACTTATTTTTATGCATAACTATTGCTTTTATTGTTGTGTTGAAACTTGTGTATATCCTTTTGATTTTGAGCTTGTTAGGTTAATTAATTCAAAACATGATAAATCTCCCATGACCACAAAGCTTTGTATAAAAGTAAAATTCAGATGACTTGGCAGGAAAAAAAACCCAAAAAGTATTTTCATTTTACTTATCATATTAATAAAAGTGCTGTTAACTCACCTGGCCCCTCAGCAGCAACGTCTTTCAGCCCGTGTTTGGCCATAGCGGACATCTGAGCCTGAAGTCTCTGCAAGGAATTCTGCAGAACAACAATATCTGCTCCATGATTTTCACAAGTGGCATTCATCCTATGGACGCAGTCCCTCAGACTCTCAATGTGTTTCTCCAGCCCATCTTTAAGCTCTTCGATGTTGACGGACACCCCGTCTAACTTTCCACAAACGTTCTCGAGCTTGCTTACGCGTCCCTCCACAGCTGAGACTCCATCGGAAACACCTTGTGTTGTCTCTTTGCATTGACTCAGTTCAGATGACACCTGTCTACTGAGCACATCGAGTCTGTTCCTCAGCTCACCCATCTGACGACCGGCCGGGTCCGCTGCAGCCCAGTTGACCTGGGCTGATCTTCCGTGGTTCGTCTGCTCTGGATAGCAGCATGTTGTGTTTATTTTCTGCATATCCTGGTCGTATTTGCTCAACGAGTCACTTAGCCCAGTCACAGCACCAGCCAAGCCAAGAACGTTATCTTGAAGGTTAATCAGCCCCTTCTGGAAGTCCTCCATTGTCTTTATATGCTTTTCATTTCCAGATGACTGCCTTTGAATAAGGTTCTCCATTTGCCTGAGCTTGTTTGTGTTCGAGCTGACGTTTGTGTGAAGCACRTCCAAGTCATTTCTGTATCGATTCAAGTCCTTTAAAATGTTTCCGATGCGATCAGGTGATCGTCCCTCAGGTACGGGAGTTTCAGAGCCTGAACATCCTACTGAGCACGACTTCTTTATGGCATTAACTTTGTCATCCAAATTCTGGATGATTATCTTGTTGTTGTTGACTTCGGCCTGAATGACATTCATTGAGTGACCAAATGTTCCTGGGGAAGAGTTGTTGTTCATTTCCACCAGCACGTTTGTAAACTGGTCCTGAATGCTATTCAGACGTTCATCCAGGAGCAGTCGAAGTGCAGCCACTTCATCTGCAATTGTCTGGGATAACTTCTGTTCAATGTAGAAACAATGAGTTTCTGCATTTTGTTCTGTTATATTTACACGCGCCTCCAACTCTTGAATCAATAGACTAAACTCGCCAATGTCCTGAAACGAGGACAAATGAGCCAGTTCGTTGTCAATGCGGACGTTAAGGATTCTGTAAGCCTCAGCTATACGGTCGATTTCACGCCACAGGTCCTTATGGTCACTGTTGTCTTTATTCTCGTTGGGTAGTTCTGTTTGTCTTTGCGTTCGAACAGGTCCGTCTGCAGCAGCCATGTCTAGACGCAGTGTTCGGATCTCTTTTTTCAGTTCAGCCTCCTTGGTATCTAAAATCTTGGTCACCTTGTCAATAACTTCATCATGGCTGTCCTCACAGGTCTTCTGCATGACCTGAATCTTGTCGTTACAAAAGCCTTGTAGTTTGACCACCTGTTCCTCCACCTGCAGGTCCAGCTCTTTCCTCAGTTTCTCAAATTTCCYATCGACGTAGGTTTGTATGACATCAAACTCTACCATGGCTGGGGTCTGAGACTGAGAGGCGGCCATTAGGACACGTATCTGTCCCTCGTGACTTGTTGTGACTCCTTTTAGGTCTTCCAAAGCCRTGTCCTTACTTTTCAGTGCAATGTTGATTTCATCTAGACGAGCTTCTATTTTTTCCAGGGCTTTCACTCCAGCAATCCCACCTCTGGTAGCTTGACCGTCTAGCACGGCCGGACTTTCCTCAGTGCCTGGACTACTGCTATTATCYGTAGGCCGCATGTTGTTTAGGAGCGTCACCAGCATCTTTTTGGTGTCATCCTGAAGGTCTGTGCGTAAGTTATCAGTTAACCCTGTTAGAGTGGCCTGGAGATCTTGGACTGTCTGAGTGAGACGCTGAACTTCACCTTCAAGAAGGCGCACCTTATCTGTGGCGCCATGTCGAGTCTCGTAGGGTGCGGTCTCCCTCCCTATAATAAAATAACAGAAATATATGTTTTTTTCTGTCTTCTATGGGAGAAACAATACACATATGTCTTTGTTAGAGTTTTATGTAATGTTTTGCATAAAGTGACAAAAGCATTTAATGTAGACGAGAAAGTGGATTTCTTACTCGGTGCATGTCTAGGCGAGAATCCAGGATTTAGTGGGAGGTAAGACCGTGGTCCATGCACTGTTTGTCGATCCAAGGGTGGATTTACATCCTTACAGTCTGGACCTCTGTAGCCAGGACAGCATTTCCATTCTATCTCTGTGACTGTCTTGTAGCCAGTTTTGTATGTTGGTCGAAACCGCATTTGGTATCTGCAAYGCAAGACAGAAWAATGACTAAGATTTGCATTTCAAAACGTTAAGATCAAACCAAGCCATTCTTGAAGTGTTTTATGTAGAGCCGAGCTAGAACTACTCTGCAAGTCTAAAAAGACAAAAATCTTGTTGCAGTATACATTTCATTAGAAACTGTTGCTAGTCCACCAACATAAAAATAAAATAAAAAATCCCAATTTCCTTGCCAAAAAAAAGGTTCCCAAGAAAAACAATGGATGATATCACTTCCCTGAAGGTAGGGGTCATGTAGTGAAGAACATCTGGAAAACTGATGTCTGAAACTATCTTTTTTTTTTCAAACTGTTACTGATACTGCTGTTCTAGCTGACAGACGCAAAGGGAAAAGTGAAATCCTGAAGTATATTGACACTTAACATTTCTCCTTTCAGCTGTAATCAATAATGTGCACCTAAAAATCATCTAAAAAGAAAACAAATTAAAACCCATCCTGTATATSAGAACTTGAGGGGTTTGTTTCCACTGCCAGCTCCTTTTTGCRTTGCACAGAAACATGCAAATACGAGCCTGAGACTGAACCCCGCTCAGCTTCCAGGAATAATTTCCTCAGAGCAGACTGCATCTGTTTGTGTAAACAAACCAATGAACTAAACCACAGATAAAATGTGTTTAAAACTAAAAATGATTCACAAAGCAAAAAACATTACGTTGTGACACAACATCTTCCAGAAAATCATTAGAGCTGTTGCTCATATTTACTGGTACAGATGCCCCATATTTACATCATACTGTATAAGATATAAAGTGTTCCTTTGAATGATTTATTGTTYAGAAAGCATGTAAGAAGGGAATACGTCAGGAATATGCTTCAGTTATGTATGATAATAAATCATATGCGTCACTGGAGATGCACAGAAATGAAAACAGTTCCTAAACTTGAAAGAGATTAAAAAGTTTTCTATCCAACTGAATTACTGGGGGGAAAATATAACATTTGCTTTTCCTTAGCAATCATGGCAGCTGCAATGAGGGAGTAAATTATGCTGTACTWAAGCCAGGGCTGAATACTTGCTAATGGTATAAAAACAAATGTGAAGCACTGACTGCTGCGTGGTGACCCTTTTAAAAACTTGATAAGAATAGATATGTGGAAACGCAGCTGTAAAAACCTAGATATGGGAAGCCAAGGTTGTCTGCAGTTTAAGAAAATAGTAAATAATAAGGCTCAAGCATGAATTCTTGAGCACCTGATAAACAGTTATTAACTTGATAAACAGTTATTAATTATCTGCCACTGAAAGGCAAAGGCAGAAGATAATGTTTTTGCTCATGTCCATATCTATTAGTTGACACAACATCTCCTGAATCACTGAACAAAGTTCAATGAAACACATAGAAAGTTATCATAAGATTTACCCGATTAACTTTTAGAGATGGCCGCCACAGCCAACTGACCTCCAAAAACACATTTTCCTATTTGATTTTGTTCATTTTATTCCTATTTTCTATACTTAGCACACAAAGTAAGGAAATTTGTGTTTGGTAGATTATTTTTTAGTTGTAACAATACAGTACTTCTGGGCAATAAATCATCACTTCCTGTTACTTAACACACAAATATCTCAACAACTGTATGCGTATCTCTGCAGCATTGATTTTTTTTGCACTATTTTATCAATGTTACCATTTATATTTATTACAAAAATTTGATGTCACATGCACTTTAAATAACACCTCAACCAACATTTGTTGTTTTTCAACAGCACTTATTTTGAGTTGGATGTAGTTATGACAGTCTTTCACACACCGGGCGAAATACATACTTTGGACAAATTTAGCTGCAAAGTGCTGCCTCAACTTGGATTGTCACTTTGTGCAACTTCAATTAGTAAGTTCATAACTATATTTTCTGAGTGTCCGTTTGCTTTTCAGTGGAGGTTTTTATTTTCTCTTAATTGAGAAGCCATGCTTTTTAGTTCTGCCAACTGGGTTTATTTGAGCCGCTCTGAATACATTTCTTCCTCCAGCTTTCTCTCAAGGAAACGTTTTGCGTCCAAATGTTCCTGGTACATTTAATAAACCCTCAACACCACCCCCTTCCTTGCTCCCATGGTTGCTCACGTCACTTGTTGCTGGCAGTCGGACTTGTAGGCCGGGCAGGGGGCCACCACAGGCTCCTGGAAGCTCTCCGGGCTCCCCTGCACCACACAGCTCACGTTCCTCTGCACCACATAGGCACACCAGTTCCTGGAAGGCACAGACAAACAGGAAGAACTTTAGTCTGTCTTTTATTTTAATACTAATGCAAATGTGATCCAAAACCCCTTAACAGAATCGAGCTAAAAGTGGTGTAAAAAAGTATCAATACACTGAAATAATTGCAATATTTTATTGCATTTCTCACTGTTCAGTGTTCTGATTGTCTAAAAATAAACTGAATTTACTTTAATTTTATGAACTTAATGCATGGTGTGCTCTTTATGCTACTTTATACCAGTGGTTCCCAAACTTTTTATCTTCTGACCCAAAATATCCATGGCAAAAACTTGTRACCCCAAATATTACTGGTCTGAGTACACAAACTTTGTTAATAACCCTAAAACACAGGCTTTTTGACAATCTAAACTGCTTGTACACACATATAAATACTTATTTTTACTTATTTTGTGTTTTTGTAATAATTATAGAGAAAATATTACATCAGCAATTATTTTATTACCCTTTAAATTGATTTCTGGAGATTATCCAAGGTGCTTCATGACCCATAATTGGGTCCCAAGCCCAACTTTGGGAACCAAAGTGCAGTGGTTCACAAACTTTTCAGCTTTTGACCCACAAAATAACAGTAGCAGAGACCTGTGCCCCCAGCTATTTTTGGATGATAAACATTTGTATCAGGTCAACTAAACATGGGCATAGTAACAATATTTTTATACTGCATTTATCCATTTTAAATACACTAACCTCACTCCTTTGTAACAACTAAGGAAAAAATGTAATTAATTCTGAAAATATTTTCAGGACCCCACTTTGATATTTCGGGACCCCACTTTGGGTCCCGACCCCAACTTTGGGGAACACTGCTTTATACTATACTTCCTTGCTTCCAGTATCACAATACATATTGCTATGTATCATTTTGTGATCCGTGGGTTGTGATTTGTATCATATCACCAAATTCTTGCCAATACACAGCTCTAATCCTAACTAGTTATTGCTTACCAACAAAGACAGAGTGATTCTATTTTGTTTGTCTGTATTTGTAGCAAAATATCTCTTGAACCAAATGAATCTGAATGAAACTCTCTAAAAGTTATCATCATGTGGACTTTTGGAGTTGCATTTAGGATGGCCACACTTATTCAACTCTAACACAAAAACTGCTACGACTCAACCAGTTTTACAGACGTTGAGCTGACAGAGTCATCCCAAACAAATCTGTTTTACTGGATGGATTTGAATCAAGCTTGATTTTATTGGCTTTACATCTACAACTGATTCATCTGGGGTCAACACAAACCAAGATGGCTGCAACTGCTAACTGACCATGAAACTGGCTGTAATTTACTCTAAATAACAGCTTATGTTAATGTAGCTGAGAGTTCATTAAACTCTAAAGGTGGCGGGTGATAGGCATTCCTCCAAAGAATGGCAGGCCTTTAATTCCTATAAGGTTTAGATTGTCCATGATTGTCTCCTTTGGCCTATTTTGAATTTATCAGAGAGCTCTTCTTGCAGATGAGATAGTGACATTCCAGGGTTTTCTCTGGTTCCTGTCACCTTTGGATGCACTGGGAAAAAGAAACAGCGGCCAAAATTAGCCCCGGCTTGATAAAGCAGCACTTAACGACCCACATGACCATAAGAGGCTAAAATCTTCACCGAACTGCGGCTCTTTCCGGGCCAGTGAGAAGTTTTGGACCTGGTCGCGTTTTTATTGGCAGCTGCGCAACAAAAGCGCGCAGCCTTTTTTTTTTTTTATACCTCCAGCGCAGTTAAAGTGGTCGTAAAAAACAGCCTCGACAACAGAGTGTGGTTAAAATCACAGAAAGCTGAATAAAAAAAATTAACGAATAAAGAGGAAATAAAAAATAACTTAGCACGAAACTCACCTATTTCTGTGTCTGTGCACCGCTCCAGTGTGTGCAGACCCCTGGAATAAGCCGAAAGAAGAGGTGGACCCGTAAGTGAGCTGAAAGTTTAAACTGAGGGTAAAAACAACCCACAGCCAGTCCATCTCTCTGCGCCTTCTCAGCTTTAACAAACGCGTTAAATGACACATTCGTAGCTTTAGAAAAGCCTGAACTGCCCCGCTACCATTGTGCGTCAAATGCACCAAAGTTGCATCGCCTTTTGCGACTGATCCAACTCCAGAAAGTGAACTTTGGGGAAGTCCACTGCAACTCCCTGCATGGGAGTGACGTTCAGGAACCACACCCTACTCCGAATACACTCACACGAGGGTCAGCTTCTCCAAAACTTTATCATCACCCACCGCAGGATTTGGCAGAAAGGCGAATTATGTAATTGTGAGCGCGCACGCGTTTGTGTTCGTTTGTACCAAAAACAAAAGTAAAAACAAAACCTCTCAAACTAGTGGACTAATATGATTAAACAATCTGTAATCAATGGGTGAACATGTTTACCTTTTAGAGACAACCCAAGATGACCCACAGCAAACAAACATTAACTCTACAGATATTGAATTTGGTGAGGTAGTAGCTGAGAGTGATGCCAAACATGTAAACCTTAAGCACAAATTGATTAACTAAGATCTGATTTAAATTTTTTGCCATTATATTCCACAGTCCACTCTGTCTGTCTGTTAGCAAAATGTCACATGAAACTCTAAGGACTTTCATGAAACTTTCAGAAAACTATCATCAGGTCAAATAAATCTCCAACTGATAAGAAATTGGGGTCAACCCAGTTCAAGATGGCCGCCGCAGCCACTGATTTTATGAAACATGAAACTGGTCATAAATCAGCCATTTTCTACAGATATTGARCTCAAATTTGGTGTGGATGCAGCTGACCCACAACACATCCTCCAAGCTCTACTATGCAATATTTTCCTCTTAAACTTTGACATTAGAATCAACACTCTGTCTTTTAGCAAAATATCTCCTTTACCACAGGATGGATTAACACACTGGATCAGTTTTACAAAAAAAATGAGCTGAATTTGGTTGTAGTAGCAAACAGTTGTTTCCCTGATTTACTCTGAGGGCTAAGATATCTTGCAAGATAAGGTCATGTTTGACCAAAACGCCTACACTCATGCATTCTTTCATAGAATACCCTCAATGTATTTGGTGTTTAAGCTTCAGGAGTGATTTATTTATTTATTTATTTATTTATTTATTTAGCATGGGCTAATTAATTAATTAATTAAATTATTGCTTCCATGAGAAGAGTCATCAGCCAGTCATTCACAGCTCACAGAGGAACCACATGGGGGATGTCTTATGAATGCAGCCAGCAGAGCTGAAAGAATTGAGCTGCTGATAATGGTATTCATAGCCAGGGATAACAGTAGTAATTTACATTCTCCCTGCCCTCTCTGCAGATAGTAATATGCCAGAATATGTCTGCGGCAGCTTCACGGGCAAATTTCATCATTTTTTTTAAAACCTGAACTGAGCAATGCGCTGATTTCTTAATGTGCTTTGAGAAAGGAACAGAAGTTGTAAGAGCTTCGGCTCGGAGCAGGTTTGAGGCCAGAGTTTCATCGTCGGTGCTTCGGCACCTCGTGAGAGTGTGAGTTTCGAGCTGCGATGCCGTGAAAATCTCTTTGTGAAAATGGCCCCTGTTAGGCTCCCTGTTTCAGTGTGGTTACTGGTTAGCTATTCCCTGATCAGACGAAGCTTGGCTTTAACACAGATCTGGTCACGGAGAAGGAAAGAWAGGGACAGATGATGAGAGTTAAGGGGATGGGAGGAATGACAGCAAACAGAAGTGTGAGAGTAAATAAAACCAGAGTGAGAAGATAACACAGATTTAGAGGGGTGCCACAGGAGATAACAGCAGAAATGGATGAAGTCTAGTCCCACCTCGACATTTAACCACAGGGTTGTTTTCAACTGTCRTTCCAGACTGTTTCCCAAAATAACAACCATCTATGATGTGTAATTATGTGTAAGATGCTGTAATACATGATATGTTAGAGACTGATGTTTGGTAAAAACACATCCTTTTTATAAACAAAAACTAACACTATTTGACTCTGCATTATAGCCWATCTAAACACCTTGAAATTGGCTTCTGTCTCTTTAAGAACCTCCTRCCCTTTCCGACACTCCCACTTCARCACATCTTCACAACAGTGCTTCGGGGGGAGGGTTGCTCCACGAGGCTCAGCTGCAGATGGAGCTCCCCAGCCAAGCTTCTCTGGGAAGGACTGAGCTCCAGGGAGGTGCTTTGTTTAAGTAGGCGGTGCTTTGTACCAGTGAGCATTCAGAAATGGCTACCACAGGAAATTCAAGGATTTCTCAAACACTCATGAATGAGTTAAAGCAACACTATGTTTTTGATTATAACATTATAAAGCTCAAAAAAGTCGATTTTGTATATTCCACCCTCTTTAATCAAATAAATTAAAAGTGCACATCATCACTGCCATTCAGTTTTAAACTAAGATCATTTTATGTTTAGAAATGGCRAAGTTGTAGCCCTTTTTACCTTTCCAAATTTTAGCTTCGTGTCTTGAAATCTGACCCATTGTGTGGGCTAATTTTGTTTAGCAGTGGCAAACATTTTGAAATGGATTGTTTCCAAAAGGTAAATCAGTTGCAGATGCAAAATTCAGCGATTAATTTCTGTAGATTTCCATGAAATTTTATGTTTGAGACACAAGCATTATCACTCTGCCCTCTCTTATCTACAGCGGGTGATAGTGATTATACKTTACTTCCTGTCTAACGTTAACAGATCCTTCTAACAGTTTGTAACAAATGTCAGCAGTCAGTCAAGAAAGGAAAATTTGCTGCCAATGAGCTTCATGTGAGTCATGCTCTGGTTTAAATCTTTCTCTGGGCTCCAGAAGAGGGCAGCATAGCAGCGGTGAAAACACTGAAGTCAAGGCATTTCTTTTCCAAAGTGCTGGACTGAGAACAAGACATTTCATTAGTGAGGCAGCATGAGTGCTGTATTTCTAGATATGAGTTCTGAGTTCACCACTCCTTATGGATTATTGAGGAATTCATTGGAAACATGTAGTTCTCATCGCAAATAAGTAACCACGTTCAATTCTGGTTTCTTTTCTCTGGTAATTGGTAGGATTTCCAGCCTGTTGCTGTGAGTGAATATTAGGCTTTCACTACTTAAAATGCAAATAGTTAGGAAAATTCTCTATTTAACTAATTTGCCACGTTGACCTCATGAAACTGTATAACATAAACTGGAGTTAAAAACAATCATTAACTTTATGTTTGCCCTGACATTCATGGGGAGCATGAAGCTGCATGAGTCATGACTGAAAGAAAATACCAAGGTACATTTTTTATGAAAGGGAGGAAAATGCAGCACAGTCTTACTCATAAATCCAAGGGATTTTTCCTGCATTTCTCCTCTCTTGGATCGATTTCTCATTGTTTTTCGAATTCCGCGGAAGTCGGAGAACTGATTGGAGTCGGAACAGTCTGTGCTGAACCTGAGGAAGATCCCTCGTGGCGTGTACAACACATTTGTCACCGAGTCGTGCAATTTTCACAAACACTTCTTCTTTTGATTCCTTTTAAATTCAGCATGCTTTCACCAACGTTTTGGCTTTGATCGTTTATCCTTAAACGTTCTGGTTCTTCTGAGGAGGATGGGGCCAACGCAAAACTTTTTTTTTCTTTTTTCAAAGGTCCTTGTTTGTTCTGTATGTCAGATCCGTGGCATCGCATGTCTCGGAAGTCACTGCTTCAAGGCATACGGATCAGAATAAACTTCATTCAGACCTAACTCTAACATGTAGGCRCCTTGAGGACTTTCTTAGCTTTAAATATCTTTTTATTTCTCAAATCTGACTCTTCACCCAGGGAGACTGAACTGTGTTGTAAGATTCTGTTTTTTTTTTTTTTATTATTTGTCAGGCAGAAGTCATACAAATCATGCGTATCATGACTCTGCTTCCCGTTCTGGGGTGACTCAGGGGTGAGCGAAGCCGAAGGCCTGCCTACACAGGAGTGTTTCATGGTGGGGTCAAGAGTTTGCCTGAAGGCGCCGTGGTCAGATTGGTTCATTTTTCACTCTTTTAACTTTAAACRGTGTGACAGACTGACTGAAGGCACAATATTTTGTTCCCACCTTTTTTTTCTTCTCATCATTCACGGTAAATCTGTTCAYAGCTAAAGTGAATTATATATTATTTAATCTAAAAGTCCAAATGGAAAGCTTGATTTTGTTTTCGCCCGTCGCCGAAGGCAAAGTCAGAGCGGCAACCACTAACAAAATATCACTGCCAGATTTTATCGAAAATATCAAGAGTCAGTTCAATTCAAGATGGCTGCCACAGCAAAGCACTCTTAGCAAACAGAAAAATGAYAATAACTTAGCCAGTTTTACAAATATTGAGTTGGATCTTGGCATGGTAGAATTGTCACCAACCTATGTTTGAACACATTGTGCAACATAATGGCTTAARTAGTTGGCGCTAATGGTCTCATCTACTGATTAATGTTTGGAGTCAACCAAATTCAAGATTGCTGCCKGTCACAACTAATCAACCTTAGTTCATACACAAATGGCTACAACACAGTCACTACTGCAGGAAGTGCATTAAATGTGTAGCTGAGAGTCATTCACAACAWATGCTCCAAGCATTAATAGATCAGATGAGACTTCACAATGCTACAAAGCAAACTGTATCTTCACACTTTTTGACCAAAATGGCTACATCTCTATTTCTGAGCACAAGATGAGTTTAGTTTAAAAGCGGAATGAAAGGTGGCAGGTGACATGCTTCACTTCAAGAAATGCTTGGCCTTTTACTTCAGAATCGATACCTTTCTTTAAACAAAGCCACATTTTATAAGACAGAGAGAACTATACTCCTCCTCTGTCGCTCGCTGTTCCACCCACTCTCTGAGGCTTTCTGAAAATGTGCTCACTGTAAGGGAGGCGGAAATGATTATACCTAAGAGAATCACCTCCAACAGATTGTCTTCCAGCATTATTTCAGATTTATACATCCTGTCTCCTCGCCGCTCGCAGGGAAAAGGCTCAACAGAGACTGACTTGTGTTGTTGCTGCATCGTGATTGTTGTCCAAACGACGAGACAATCAGGCAGCTACTATCTGAGACACAACACATTTATGAGTCCGTTTGGATTATTAATCGTCATTTCACCAKGAATGACCTGAGACACAATGACAGCCTTTAGTATGAATCATTGCGATGCCAGATTAAAGAAAATGTCATGGAGACAAAATACGAAGACACGATTGGAGACAAAGGGTGACATATTGT